TAATATACCAATGTTCAGAAGTGTTAACCCTTGGTCGACAAAGCACAGGTCTCTGTACAACAGTTTGACTTCCCTGGAATTCTTTCCACATTCAAGAATTTACTGAATGCCAAAAGAATGAGTGACATCTCTGTCTGATTGTCCTGCTTCAATGCATCCGACAGCACGCTGTTTGTTATTTATCTGTTCACTTGCTGTTTGTTATTTATCTTCTTTCAGGCACAGAAATACAAATCTCATAAAAAATTATACTACAAAAGTTATAGACATTTTGCATCAGCATTTAAATGAACCTCCTCAAACACTTTAAAAACAACAAAAAATCATATCATCTGCAGTAGCTGCTTAATTACCATATGTTTGGCCAGTCAAGCATGACTAGCTGTCATATATGATATTTGAATACTGCTATTTGCATCTGCAGCGATTTTCAGCATCTCAAATTCAACATTTAAAAAAAAAATTTAATTTGCATTGCTTGTTTAATATTTGGAAGCCATTGTATTAATCTTTTATTTGCATACAAATGAATTTTCATAGTTTAAAATTTAAATTAGCTTTTTATGATAGAGAATATATGTTTTATATATATATGTGTGTATAAAATTATGTTATCTACAATATATATTGCATATATATATAAATGCAATATATATTGTAGATAACATAATTCTTTATTGTGTACACAGAGAATGATAGAATTATGTAGATTCACGAGATGACATAATGGAGAAGAAAAATTTTAGCCAACATGGCTGAAGATAGGAATTTATTTCTGGACACTTAATTCTTGCAGTATGTATTCTCAATCAAACATTATATTAGGTGTGATATGCATCCCACAATTTTATATGACTTGTCACACTGTTATACAGTGGATGAAATTGAGATATGAGCAGAACATGTTTGCACAGTGAAAGAAAAGCAGGGAAAATCATTCCACATTTCAGCAAAGAGATATTTATAGAATTGGCTTCTTTGTTCAAATTTTGAACTGCAACTGGATAAAAAATATCTGCAGTGCTGCTTTTATATAATGACAATGTGGATTAATTTTCAGATGATGCACTTTAGATTCACATATTAGATTTAACACAGGATGGTGATATAGTCAAATTTAAAAAAGGAATTAAAAAGACTGCAGCTAAATTAAAATCTGTAGTTTTTCTTCCATACTTTATATCTCACAAATTCCTCCCTTTCAAAGAGAAAAAGGCTTTGTAATGGAAGCCATTTTAGAAAAAAAGCATTAGAGTATTAGCAAATGAAGATAAATTTTGTACTATATATACAACTTTTCAATGAGAAAGAAAATGATTTTCTTCAAGGACATAAGCCTTTAGGTTTCTGCATGCCCGTCATTTTGTTCATGAACTTTCTTATATCTTAACATTCAAAACAACATAAAAAATATAATTTGGAAGTATTACCAATATATCATTTACATTTAATTTATATCTAAATTAAATGTACAGTCCAATTTTTAAATTTTTATGGCTTGATTTCTCTAAACATATAAGTTTTTAAAGTTCCTCAAATGTTCTCTAAAAATATTGCAAAATTGTCCAAAATTTTCAAGAAATAGTCATAAAAATTCACAATTCTTGAAATTTGTACTTGATTATCATAATGTAATTTTTACAGTACTTGTCTTCAAAAATGTTTTGTAAAAACTGATGTAACTAAAAAACTAGTGATGTAAGAAAAACTAAAAATTTCCTTCTACACATTCATGAAATTCTATCATAATTAATTATTTTACAAAATAATTAACATTTTCTTATTATAAAGCAATATAAAATGGATATCATACATTAATAAACACAGCAAAATAACAAAATACAGTACAATAACAACATAAACTTTGTTATAATGGGCAAGCATTCAGTGCTTAAGTACAGGATGTCTATAATTAAAGGACCCTATTTCAAAGCTGCCTACAAGCAAAACCAGTGATCAAAAAACTGTGAAATTTTGGGGTAGACTTAATGAAGGGATGAGAATTTCTTTCAGCAGGGAAAAAAAATAGTTACAAATAGCGATCCAGAGAGCATTTTACTTTGAAAAACTTGTAGTAAAAATGTAAATCTTTGTCGACACCTTGCAGCAGCTGTTATAAATCCTAGAAACACTCTCAGAGACTCTTTTCAATGTGCTTGTTGCTCAAAATAACAAAAAGTTCATGAGATCACACTTTATTAATAAAATTACTTTATGAAAACAGTAATTCCGCAGAAGCTGCTGTACGGAAATTTCAGACTTTGAACAGGATTCTAAAAGGGCCAATGAATGTTAAAATCTTTCAGAAAATGCAAACAAAATTTGAAGAAAGAGGATTATTTTCTGTTCTTCCTGAAGAGGAAGAAAATCTGTCAGCAGAAGCAGTACAGGAGGTAGCACTTCAGGTCGTAGAGGACACTACTTCAAACTTTCAGGCTAGCAAAGACATACTGCACTGGATGGCCTTGCACTGGATGGACCCTATTCAGTTGTCCATAATATCTTAAGAATATCCTCCAATACTATTGTTACAAACTTTCACTGGTGCATCAGTTGCTTTCACATGATTTTGACACCTGACACCGGTTTTCCCTTCAGTTTTCTGCTCACTTTGAAGTCAATACAGAATGGCCTTGGAATATCCTCTGGACAGATGAAGTCATTTTCGTTCGGATGGTGCAGTGAATGTAACTGCCAAATTTTGGAATCTGAAAAATCTGTGTCCTGTTTTAGAAGTTCAATTGCATTCATCAAAAGTGACACTGTGTTGTAGATTTCCTGCATCATTTATTCTTGGCCCATAATTCGAGAAACTGAGATCCACAGATCCAGTGACATGCTCCATCCAGTGCTTTTTTTTTTTTTTCGCTCAAATTCTCATTCTTTCATTAAGTCACCACAAAATTTCACAATTTTCTGATCACTGGCTTTGCTTGAAGATAGCTTTGACAGCTTTGGGTTCTTTAATTATAGACGCTCTATATAATGGCAAATAAAAACCGCTACTCCTTATAGAAGGTAATGACTTTCAGCATTGCATAAATACATCAAAGCTATTAAATATTATTTATGGCCATAAAATTCTTCAATATTACATAATTGAAATAAAAATATAAATATACAAAAATTCAAAGCCAAATTAAGACTAATAACTTCTAGATTCAAATTAAGTGTCACAAATTTAGTAAATAAAATTTTACATAATCTTCAATAATATAAATGTGTGTATGTATGGTAGTACTTTGCGCTAAACTATGGCTAGACTAATGACACTGGTGAAATAGTCAGTTCTGTCAAAGCGATAGCTGACTTTCCTAAAAAAAATTAATGTCTATATTAGGAGTACGCTACCACTGCTAAAGGGACAACAGGAGTATGCTACCATTGCTTGTATCCTCCCCAAGCAGAAGAAGAAAGAAGTGATACACATAGTGTGATTCTCAGTACTGCAAGATTTATTTTCATTTTCTGAAAATCTAGTATTCTGGCCAGAATGCAAAACTAAGTTTTGAGTTTTTCTTCTCCCCATTGCTGGGTTTTGGGGGATGTACAAAGAAAATTTTAATTGAAAAGCTCTGGGAAGAAGGAAAAGTTAAGTTAGAAAAGGAGCCAGTTTGGGAAAAAATCAAATTTGGGAATAATTTGCCACAATTAGGTTTAGAGTCTTCATTGGATTAAAAAGTCATATCTGGATTACAAATACTTTTAAAGGTTTAAAACAATTTTCATTTAATCTGTAATATATTGTAACTTAATTTATTACTGTATATAGAGACTGATTGAGCAGTGTAGATTCACAAGATGACATAAAGAAGAAAAAACTTCAACAGATCTGACTGAAGATAATGAAACACAGTTTATTTCTGGATGCTTAATTCTTGTGACACATATTATGAATCACACTCATAATATATATTATGTTATATAAATTGTTTCATCGTTATACAAGGGATGAAATGGAGAAATAAGCAGCATGGCTTTGCACAGTGAAACGAAGGCATCAAAGTGAGCATGTATTTCACCAAAGAGATATTTATACAGTTGTCTTCTTTGTTTAAATTTTGAAATGTGATTGCATAAAAAATATCCACAATGCTTCACTAATGTAATGGCATAATGAGGGTTAATTTTCAGATGATGCACTTTAGATTCCTATATCAGCAGTTTCAAAACAGAAAAGGGGCATAGCCAAATTAAAAGGACTATTGGTAAATTAATAATTCACTTTCATATTATACACCTCACACACACATGGCTGCCAAACTTGAAATATGAAAAACCAGGAGTTTATGGGAGATTTTTGCACTGTGCAACAGCACTAAATTAATTTTAATTTGCTTTGACTAAGTTTACTAAAAACATAATTCAGTTTATTGAATTATTTATTACATGATTTTGATGTAAAATAATATTAATTACATACTCTAAATTTTATGTTTTATAGCTAATTTCATAGTAATTTTCTTGCACTTTTATACAGAGAAAATTCTGAGTACAGAAAAAAAGCTTTAATTTATAAAAATACTTTAACAAAAAAATTAACAATTGATATTAAAATATTAATAATAAATATACATATTGTATGAATAAATTTAGTAATTAAATATACATTCATGCAAAACAAAATAAAAAAATATTTACTGATTAAATTTACTGGTTGAATCTTCACATTCTATAAATGTCTACAGTAGATTAACACAATTTAGTTCAAATAAAATTTAATATGAAAAATTATGAAGATCACTATGGATGGAGAATGAAACTTAAATTGCACAAATTTAACTCAAATCAATAATTAAACTTAAAACTGAAATTAATTTGTGCAAATAAATTGATTTCATTTGCACTACTTAATTTTATTGCTGAAAAACATTTTCAATAGCAAAGACTAAAAATTAAAAACTGGCAGCTATGAAAAATATATTGTACTTTATAAGAAATGCAGTTTTTTAAGGCCATAAAATATGCTAAATTTTTTTTAAAATAAAACAAAGCAATACTTTTCTTTCTTAGGAGTAACATCATCAGACTGTGTTCTTGAATCAAAATGTGCTGCTTCAGTATTTTCAGAAGAAAAAAAATCTATGGGAAAAAATTATATTAAAAATAATTTAGTAAAATTGTGTTTGCTCATTTAAAATGAATAATGAAAAAATTCAGAAGTATTAAAACAAGATTACCATTTCTGTGACTTTCTTGTGCTAAAGGTTCTGCACTGGTATTAAATTTTTGGGAAAGTGAAAATGGAGCAGAAGCTGAATTTAGCACATCTTTTAAATTGCAGCTTACTTCTGTATACCGTTCAGATGATATAGGTATTTCTTCAGCAGTATTTTGATCACATTTATTCTTTTTACTAGAATGAAAAAACAAATTAGGTAAGTAAGAGTAACAAATTAAGTAAAAGAAAAAAAATCATTTTAAACATAATTTTCGTTTATCCCATTCAACAATGCTTAATATTTATGTATGAAATTTACTCCTAAAATAGCCTACTTTTTACTTACATATTATGCCTATTCAAGGTGAATCAGAAATTATGTAAATTCTCTTATCTCTAACACTGAAGAAAAGTCAGCTACATCTATAAATGTAAAACCTTGATTTACAAAAAGGCCTTGCTTTGCAAAATGGACCAATTATAGCTACCCCTATTGGTAAAATTCAGAACTTAGCAATCTTAGTTAGAACTGTGAGAAATATGGGGGGAAATGAATTACAAAGTTTGCTGACAAAAAAATTAATATTAAAAAACATATTGTACATTACAGGTATAAAAAGTGATCTACATAATCAAAAATGTTTAAAAAATAAGTGTGACATTTTGTTTACACAAAGTGCAAATTTTCTTGAAATGGAATTCTTTAAGGCATATGCAAATACAACTGTCAGAAAGTCAAAAATATTCACATACAAATATGTGATGGCACACTTCAATTAATAAAAAATTGAGTGTACGATCACTGCACAAATAATTCTACATATGTGTAGAAATGGTGAGTTTCATTCAATAGCAATATTATGAGCAGATCTTCTTGTATGGTGAATACTAATGAAATACCATATAGGTTGCACCAAAGTATACAACTAGATATCCAGGAGAACCTCATCCAAGAACAAAGACTATTGCTAAAATAATTCTATGAATCACGGAAACAGTAAGTACTACAAGCTGTGTTCATTTGGATAAACTAGTATCATAAAATGCAGCAAAAAATGTGTATAATTTAATAGGCCAATCAAAGATGTCATGTGGTGACATCAGATTTTTTATACATAAAATTAATGGACTGAAGATACAGATTCTATATTAATGATACAGGTTGTTAAGAAGTACTAATAAAATCCTCTTTTAAAAAAATGGGCTTTAATAAACACTGATAAGATTTATACTAATTTTTAAAAAATTATCAGAATTTAAATGCAAGAATTTTTTTTTTTTTTTTTTTTCCAAATCTCTACATATAATAAAACAAAGAGTCTGTCTGTGTGTGTCTTTCGTTCACGCTGCGTGTAAGCTAATAGACCCACGGCTACGAAATTTGGTACATAGGTGCATCTATTCTTATGTCACTGTTTTTAAGAGATTGGCATATTTCAATGTCATTTTTTATATATACAGTCAAAAGTCGTTAATCCGGACTCGTCGGGAATTCGGCGATTCCGGATTATCGATTTTTCCAGATTATAGATCATCAGTTTCAATCTGGTAAGATGGCATGCATAAATTATAAAATTAAAAATATGAAACCATAATTTATGAAAAAGAACAATTATGATCTAAAGGGTATCAAAATTTACAAAAAAAAAAAAAAAAAAAAAAAAAAAAAAAAAGCTTAATATGTATTTGTTTACTTTACTTTCTTCGCTGTCGGAAGCAAATTATAGTGATGTGGAATTTGATGTAAATCATATAAAAGACGGAGTACATCGAGATTAAATACATTTAGTAAGGAATTATAAGCCAAATAAGATAAAAACATCTGCCCTGAAGATAAGGATAGTGCTGACAGATCAACTTCCAGTTTCATTGCGAACGCTGCGACGCACCCCCTCCCCCCGCAGAGCAGGGTAAAATTGATAAACAGATTTTGGAATGGTTAGATAAACAAAGGATATGCCTTTATCCATTTTTTGCAGCAATTCCACTTTTTGTTTGATGGACTTCAAAACATATTTTTGCTTTGTAGATCCTTTACATATTAGTAAATATATATTGGAAATTCTATTTGACATAATCGAAAGTTCAAAGCGCAGGCGTAAACGTATTTTGGGCATGCGCACACGCATTTTCGCAGCCGTAAAGGCCTTACGGCGTCAACGCGACGCATGCGCAGAAAGTTTGTATCTTTGAGGTCCGGATTAACGACTTTTGACTGTATAATATATTTTTATTGATGTTTTTTATAAAGATGTTCTGCAGAGTAAAATTGTGCACGGAATTTTTTGTTTTTTGAGTTTCTTTCATGTTATTTTTTGCTTATTTCACTGTTTGTTAAATATTGAAAAGTTTTGTATGATTTTTTTTCTTCAATGGAAAGTTGGTTAATTTTTTATTAGGATAATTAATATTTGTATTAAAGGATACAGCTTATTTCATTGTAATTTTTGGTGCTTCTTTGATAGACGGTTGCACGGATTTTGGCAATTTTTCTTTTGGCGAGTAATACGACTTATGGTAAACCCATTGCTGGATAAATTATTTATGGTAACCGACACTTTGTTGTCATTTTATTTAAAAAATAATGCATTTTATTATGCATAAATTCCGTGTTTTAAATATTATTTATGGCTTCTAAATATTAAAAATCAATTTAATTTTGCATTTGTTTTAAAAATGATTTTATTATAAATGATTATTTAAGTAATTTTAATTCTATGCCTGATGTAATCAGCTTCCTGATTGGTTACTGAGTATTTGTGCATTACCACGCCATTTTAAAATTTTATTATTCATCTCTTCGAATTCCTCAGATTTCAAATGGAATAAAAAATTGTAAGTACATAATTTTCTTTTACTTTATAATTGTATACTTCAACTTTTATTAAAATATTAATACAATGTTTTCAAAAATTCCGGAGATATTTATTGCCACATAAGTTTTTAATGTTAAATTATTAAATCCTATAAAACTTATTTTAAAGTATTTAAGTAATATTTAATTCATTTAAACGTTGGTATGATATTTGAACTCGATATTCAATTAAAGTAATATTTTAATCCAATTAAATGTTGGCGAATGTTTTTATAGCGGTGTTTTTATTCTATTATATGAAAGTAATAATTTAACCTTACTTTAGTGTTTTATACTCTTAGTAAATTTATTTACTTACATTTGCCAGCCATCTTAAAAACAACGTTTTCAACAAAAAATGAATCCATTATTTTTAACAATATTTATATTTTTAAAGTTTCTAATACTTTTCTATATGCGTAAAATACGTAAAAACAGCATTTTTCAAGATGGCTGATGATTATAAAAACTGCGCCAACAATTGCGCCAATGTAAATTGCCAAAAATCTGTGCAACCGTCTACCAAAGTAGCATCTAATTTTTTTCTCTTGAAAATATAAGATAAAATATCATTAATTATATTTTGCTTTTCAAAATTTTTTGTTTTTTGTATTCTTTTATGTTATTTATTGTTCATTTCACTGTTTCTAAGATATTGAACAGATCTGAGTGATTTTTTTAGGAAACAAAGTTCTTAACTTCCATTATACCATTTGAGTTCTTAAGATTTTGCAAAGGGAAGTTGGTTAATTTATTTATTAGGATAATTAATATTTGTATTAAGGGATATTCCTTATTTTATTGTAATTTTGTTATACATAATAACTTTTTTTTATGAAGTTTTTCTGCAGAGTAAAATTCTATGCAGTTTTTAAATTTAACGTTTGGTGTTCCCTTCAGCCATTTTCCCAGTGCATTTAAAAACCAGACGGAGGCTGCTAGTATACAATAAATAAAAACAAACAAGGTTTTTTAAGTTCGTAGCATTTTGACATTACATTTATACAAGTAAAAGTTTTTAACAATTTTATTTTTATATGAAAGCCTGGCCATTACTACTTTTCAGTATAATTTTCACCTATGTGAAGGCACTTATCACATCACATCATACAAAACAGCTTTTGATTTATGTCATCATAGAAACCTGTTGCCTGATTTCATAACCATTTTCATTACTTAGTATGAGCAAAATTTCCAATAATCCAAGTGTTCTGTCACAATTTCATAAAGAACGCTTCTTGGAACTTGAAAAAACTCCACAGAAAATGATGAAATCATAAAGCATGATGATGAGGGATGAATAGGTGATTGGTCAATGAAGATGAAATTCAGAAGTTGGTCGCATGACAGAATAAGTGCCTTAATGTAGGCAAATTACATTAAAAAATACATTAAAACCTAAGTTTTCATGTAACGATAAAATCGTTCTTGTGTTAATGTAAAAGCAAAATGGTATTTACTTAAAAAAAGAAAAACATACCTCATAAAAAGATGACTATTAAAAGGCAATAACAAATCTATAAGAAAATTCTCAGCTTCATTTTCCATGCAGAACAATCAAAATAACTGAAACTTAAATGAAACTTAAATGAAATACAGAACATAGTCTTTTCAGATGAGTACCAGTTCTGAGTGTTGTATTTTGACGGCCATATACATGTCTGGAGGCTCTGAGGAGACCACGTGTCACCTGCTTGCATTTGATATCAGCATAGGAGCCCTGCACCTGGTGTAATGGTTTGGGCAGCAATTGGGTGCACAAATGCACATCTTTAGTACAGATCGACGGTAATTTGAATTCAGATCGGTACATTTCTGACATCTTACGTCCAGTGGTTGTGTCCTATCTTCAAGGCCTGCCAAGCCATGTTCCAACATGATAATGCAAGACCACATGTTGCACGTCGTGTTCTGACCTTCCTCGATACACAGGGTATTTGACTGCTGCCCTGGCCTGCACAGTCTCCAGATCTGTCACCCACTGAAAATATCTGGTAATGGATTGCTGAGAGACTGGTCTGCCACCTTCTCCAGCTAATACGATTGATGAAGTGTGACATAAACTTGAATCAGCATGCAGTAAGTTGTCCGTTTCTGTCATCCAAGCCCAGTTCGATTCCATGCATAACTCCATGCCAGTTCGACCTAAGGGCTGTTTTGGATGCAAAACATGGCAGCTGTTTATGGTAATTTTGCACCCCTGTAAACCCCCAAACTGCTTACAAATTTAATAATTTTGTCTTTCTGCCATACTGTAAATCAATATCAAGCAAGTGCTGAATTTTGTTATTATTATTATATCAATACTAGAATGTTTAAAAATATACTTTATATAAGAATT